GCTCGCGATGGGGTGCGCGAAAGATTCGCGAAAGGAACTTTGGATTTCCGCGAAGAGGTCATTTTGTTATGAAGTAATATTGGGCAACGCCAGATGAATTTCTGATGCAACTAAACCGCATGTTTAGATTACATGCTGAGTGCGTATGGAGGGTTTGTATAGGACAACCGACTGGCTCCTTTCTGAGATCCCTCAAAGGATCTCCGAGGTAGCAGGAAGTAGTGTGCGGAGAAGCTTCATGCAGATGATTTCGATTGCGTCGGTGATTCTTAAGCTCTGGAATCGGAGGATGAAGGCTTCCTGTATCGGTCTTGGTTTGGGCAGAATGTCTTCAGGGGTTCAAGGCCGTGGGAAATGATTCCTCACAAGCAGCCGACACTGTCAGCTTCGGATGTCAGGCACTAAGTCATACCCTCTAGACTCTAGCCTCAGAACTGCATAACCTCAGGCCCGTGGAAACAGCCAGGTAATGAGCCGAATGAGTCTTGTGAACATCTGCTGGGTCATCCCTGTCATCCATGCTCTAAAACACTAATTATTTCAGGCTGCCTCATTTGCTGTGTCAATCAATCCCGCAAGCGTGAGAACCTCAATAGAACCCCCCAAGGAAATCCCTAGTAGGGCCCCCAGAATCCCTTCGTGACCCACATGTCCCTGTCGTTTCCAGGGTAGCCCAATGTTGAAAACATTACGTCCTGCCACGCCCAAGAGCCACGAGTTGCTTTGAGGCTTTTGCGGGGCCTCAGCCGAGTTTCTGGCTTTGTCAAGGATGCTGTGACTGCGGAGTATGCAGGGGCAAGTGACCTCCACTGTGCTCACTCTACTCGCAGGAGGTACTGGATCCCGAAGAGCTTGGCAACGTGGACCCAGAGGACTGCTGGAGGTTCTTGTTCGGAACATGGGCACGGTCTATGGGTGTACATTCTTTCTGCGTTGGGACTGAAGAAGGGACCGGAAAATGAAAGCTCGCCACGCATATCCTCAAGCATAACCTTGAAAACACATGCTAATGACATGCATCCAAGTACTACTGTTTCTAATTAGTTACTTATTAGACTACTAGCACTGCATTACAAATGCCCTCGTTCAGCACTGCTATTGCCCGAAACTCAAGATCCGAAACCCTGTATCTGTGTGGTTTCCGCCGACGAACCTCAGTTCTCGAGCCAGCTCAACCCTACCCGAGGTTTTGGGCTTCCGGAATCAGGATTTAGGTTCAGGGTGGCGCAAGGCAGACAGAATATATGGCGCTGAAGGGCAGCCAAGAGAGAACAGCGCCAAAAAGCAGCCAGATTAAGAAGTGGCGCCCAAGCGCAGCCAATGCGGAAAGGAATGCAGCACTTTTTCAGAATGAGCAGTGTTCTGGGGATAGTACGTGCTTTTGCACTGGAAGCTAAACACATGCTGCAGTGTCTAAATTCCGGTCCCACCAAAACCAAAGTTGAGGGACAGTACGCTTTTTCACTCTGGAAAATGGACAGTGCTGTACTGTCCCGAAAAATTGCTCTGAAGCCTGAAATGCGTTGGAAAAAGATATAGGGATAGTATTGAAAGGTCAAGGCGTGGCTTCGGAATTAAAATGACCACTGCATTAATTGTAAGACCGTCAAAAATGGCAACGTCTCGGACCTTATATATATATATAATGAATTCGCAAACATCACAGCGCTTCATGACACTTTCAAGATTACAAAAAAAGCAAATTCTTGAACTAGAATCCGATTTGGTCGTACTGAAGAGAGCCGGCAGTAGATCATGGGGTGCGTGGGGTGACCACATATGTTTGTAATATGGATCTAGCGTCGGCTGGTTCAGGATTCGCCGCTGTCAGTTGTAGCCCGAGCTGGCGTGAGGACCTCGAGAAGGGCCAGGAGAAAACCGCAGACTCCGCCCAAGCCAAGATCTACGAGGACTCCAAAAAATACTTTTAGCCTTGTGGGTGTGGCAGGTCTCGGGGATGCAGAGAGTACCTCTGAAAGAAACTCAGGTTTGGGGATGTTGAAAATGGCCAGCTGGAAGTCTGGCACGTATGAGCAGCTATCAATTTCAATTGACCTAAGGCGCTGTGAATCCTTGTCATTCTTTATGTTTGGACCCCGGACACTCAGCCCCCCAAATTGACTGTACCGCCTGAGAAGGACCTTGACGAGTTAGTAAACTTGCTGCCGTACGCTATGGACGAGCCATCGGCGCTACCCTTTCAGGCAATACTTTTCCAGGGAAAGGGTTGCGGGTCGATGCTGACGTTGGCAATGGCTGGGGGTTCATTTTTGACTGCAGAGCAGCGGTTGAAATCACAGGGGCTGAGAATATATGAGAATATAGCTCGCACATATCTGGACCCGTTCGATATCTGGGTGTGAGACCTGGCTCAGGGAGTTTTCGCGGTCGACTCGTTCTGCAGTTTGGGCGAGCGTCTAAAGCACAGGTAGTGAAGGCTGCTGTGGCTACGACAGTGGTGGTTCATGGTGGTTCACTAGCATGAGTGGTGAACAAGTGCAACGCAGCAGAAGGCCCCGAAGCTGCCCGCAGGTGGATCTCTTCAAAGATTTGGAAAAGGGCCTGCGGGCTGTGACACGGCACTTCCGGATCATCCTTTGGGCAATCCAGCGCCTCACCTCATGCCGGCTTTGTAGTTCAGTTTTGAAATTTCGTTTGAAGTGTTAGATGTTGGAATGTTCCTCAGGCTACGAGAGTGCGGGCTTTCAGGCTTTCAGGTTGTGATTTTGGCTCTAAGGCTCTACTTTCATGTGGCCAGGTGCCGTGATACAGAGTGTGGTAGCCGAGCGTAAACGCTCAATTGGCCAAGACCACACGCAATCTAAATGAGAGGCGTTTTTTTAAGGTAGATCAATTATAAGTGCGCAGCGCAGAAACTCACCAAATCACGATCCGAAAACTAGGTTTTCCTGTGCGCGCGGAAGGACGCGGAAGCTCCACGGAAGCGTTTCTTCGCGGAAGGCTTGCGGAAGCTCATGTTTTCAGCCACGCGAAAAATGCGATTGAAAATGGATGCTTCTTCTTGTATGTAGGCCCAG